AATAAAAATGGCAAAAGTTACTAATGAAGAAGAACATACACAAGCTGGGAGAGGTTACAGCAGTTTGCTTTTGCCTGGGCCTACTAGGAAGGGAAACACTGTCCCCACCTCTTCTCTCCCTCCTGCTGAGTTAGCTGAGTGCCAACTACTTTGGCACTTTGAACTCAGTTTGCTGCAACTAAGTAAGCTGAGAACAAAGGGGGAAGTTGGAGGGGAAGAGAGAAACTGGGACATTTTAGAAGCAGCTGAAGAAGTGAGACAAGAGAGGATTAATCAGAATGGTCCCTACTAAATCAGAAAAGTTGAAGGGTATGCAGTATTACTCTTCCTTTCAGAAGGTTATCAACCCTACCTAAGTAATTTCTTCATTTGTTTGTGTTCTTGTGTACTATTCAGTTGTTAGATCAGCCTCACCCTTCACAGAATGATGCCTTTACTTATTCCCTCCTCCTATATTCCAGATACTCAGAACATCAGCTCACTACTACTCAGTTGTGTTTAGCTTTAGGATGTGGTTGTATTCATTTTTCTGAATATCACCTTTCCTTGTTCAGCCCTTCAACTCCCACCCCTCCATCTTTTTTTTAAAAAAAAAAAATCCTGTGCACCCAAAGGCATCTGAGTTTCTGTTTCCCCTGGAAGATCTCTGGAGTGGCTTTATAAGAAATAGTTGCATAAGAAATGTGCTGTCATACTAGTATAATCAATAGTTCTGTATCTTGCAGTGTATGCATCTGTCTGTCTCTCTTTCTGTGTGCGCGCACATGCAGAGATAGACTCAAAATTGTTCAATTGGGAAAAGATTTGTGCTGTTGGAACACTGAAAGATATGAAGGTGGTGAAATGACAGAGGGAAATTATACACATTATGCATAGGAGACAGGGTGTCATAATAGACATTTAAAATTCTGTGAGCATGCAGAAAATCATGCAGAAGCTTCAAAAATAGTAACCGGAAGGGGCAATTGTTTGAGAGCTACAGTTTTGACAGCTGGAGCTCAATGAGGCACCAGGAATAGGTAGATAACATTATTATTGCACTATGGTAGAGTCATATATGTACTGTTGCCATATGGCAGATAAGAACTACTGAGTACTAAAGAGAGAGTGTTCCTGCACCTCCACCATTTCACAGATGAAAACCAGAACACATGAGGCCAAGCAATACCAGAGTATGATCAAGATGGTAAAAGTTACTAATGAAGGAGAACACACAAGCTAGGAGAGGCTACAGCAGTTTGTTTTTGCCTGAAATTTCTGGGAAGGGCAAGATTAGGTCCCTTCCACTCCTCTCTCTCCTGCTGAGATAACCAAGTACAAACTATGGTACTCTTGCACTTTCAACTCATTTGTAGCAATCTGAAGCTGAGTAAAGGGATTATGGCTACAATCCATTTCCCTAACCAGCTGCCAGACTTTTAAGGTGATGCTTGGGTGGTATTTGTAGTAATGGCAATGGTGCCACAATTGTACATGTCAACAGCAATAGGTATGCAGTCATAAACTGCAGTCACAACATCGTAAATATTGAACAGGATGCCAGCCATTAGTTTTTGTGCATAAAACAGACTGTATAACCTCCTCTGAAGAAACTTGCCAAAAAAAACCCCTATGATAAGTTCGCCTTACAGTTGCCATAAGCTGGAAACAACTTGAAAGCACACTGCAGCTGCAACAACAACAACAAAGTTAACGCAAACTATAGTTTTGCACAAGTGAATTTTTTTGCAAAAAGTCCCTAAATGCAAAAAATAATTGCAAAAGCATAAAAACTTTTAGAATCCGACCCAAAATGGAGCAAATATTTAAAACAAGTAAAGATTTATATCCCTGGTTCATACTGGAATTCACAAATATCAAACATTTCAAGAAATCTTTGCCCAGTGTTTTTTTGTTTTTTGGAATTTTACTTCTACACCCTTAAGAGAGTGTCATTTGCCCAGTGGGTTTCCATGGCCAAGAGGGAATTATCTCTTAGAGTCCTAGTCCAGCCTTCAAACCACTACAGCCTGGTTTCTCTACCATATCCACATGTTTTGCATTTCTATAACAATTCACATTCCTCTCTCCCACCCATTTGTATATATGTCTGCTTCCTTCTATGCATTCCTTCTATGCATTTGAAGCATAGTCCACAGAAGCTTATGCCAGAAATTTCTTTTTCTCAGGTTGTCTCAAAGATGCTACAAAATTCCTTTATATCTTCTTTACTTCTTTATACCTTAGTTTAAAAAAACAACAACTATAAAGCCTATAAAATCCATGCCTATAAGACGTGGCAACAGTCTTTTCACAGACATTGTCATTTGTCAGTACCCACAATAGAGCCACAGGCAATAGCACAAGGCACAGCACAAACCAATGTTTGAACCATAGCATATCATTTATTTATATATATCCTGCTTTTTCACCAAAATTGGGATACAAAGTGGCTTAAACATACAAACATACATAGCAAACATATGCTAAAAACATACAAAAATGTCCATTAAAATATAATTAAGCCACTATAGTATTAATACACATTACTCATTAAAAGAATACAATGCAATTTAAAAGATAAAAGTGTTTAAAAACATTCCATATTAAAAGGCTTTTTTTAAAAAATCCTAAAATATTAAAACAATAAAATAAAACTATATACAGACTGTTAAAACCTTCAGATCCATGGTGTAAGATCCATGGATTGAAATCCTCTTCTTCCACCATTTTGTGAGACCTCACCTCAAGTAGTGCACTGAGCATCTAATTAGTTGATAGAAAGTGTGTTGCTTGCAGCGAACAGCCATTATGATTAAGGAGCTACGGCACCGCTGGGTACAGAAAACAAACTTTTTATTATAGGAAATCTGTTAGAGATAGGAAAGCTCCCTAAGGGTTCTACGCTAAGCTTCTTGATCTCCTTTTTCTCTATTGGTTAAGGCAGTGGACACCCACCACAGCAGCAACTGCTGCTTCTGCTATTTCTGGCTGTGGAGGTTGTAGGGGGTCCCACTTCCAGCAAAGGCTGGCAGCAGGCTCTGCCAGATGCTGGGCCAGAGAGGCAGCATGGCACCCATGCGCTCAGTGGCCCCAGCACCACCTTGCTCCACCAGTGAACTGAAGTCTTAACATTTAATTGACAAGCTCAATTAGACAGGGCAGCAAGGTCCCAACTTGGAAAAGGGATGGTGGGGAGAGTGAAGAAGGTTCCTTGATCCATTTCTCTCATTGCAACATTTGAACTGATTTCTTGCCAATACCGAGCACTGGGGAGGCGGCATGCAGTGGTGTCATTAGGGGGGTGCGGCCTGCACTGGGTGACACCCTGGAAGAGGGTTGGCACCCAGTCGAGCCCTCCTCTCACTGTGGGGTGAGAAGGGCTGAGCAGGCCCCTCCTGATTTCACTGGGGTGGCACTGGTCTCTTCATGAGAAGACTGGTGCCACAGCAGCAAAGGAGAGGGCTGAGCATGCCCTTTTGCCCCTTCACACTGCCCCAGCAGCCCCCCGGACTGGGTGATGCTAGGGTTGGGAGCCCACTGGTGGCATGGAGGAGGGGTAAGTAGTTTTATAGACAGTCATGTCATTGATGGTGTCACCACCTCTGATGGTATCACCAGTACGGTGTGTACACCCTTAGTGATGCCACTATTCCAAGATTCCATAGGATGTTTCTGTAGGAGTAAAGTAGAATCATGGCACTGTAACTGTGCAGCATGGAAAGGCCCCTGGTCTAGATGATACTTGGGCTACAATTCTATTATTCTGTTGTTGTTGTGCGCCCTATAATTCTTCTTGGGTTTTTTCCCCCCAACTTATGGCAACTGTAAGGCAAACCTATCATGGTGTTTTCTTGGCAAGTTTTTTACCAGTCTAGCTTACCAGTTACTCCCTCTCCATTGAAAGTTGTGTTATGTTTTAGAGCTGTTTCTATCTCTGTGGATATTTTGTAATATTTTACTCACTGGATTTTTAAAAGTATATGAGGGGGTATCGTAAAGTAATAATTATCACCTGGAAGTCATTACGGTATATTGATGAAATTTTGTCAGTGTCATCTTTGGTCCCTAAGTGCA